TTTTCGTTTGTATTAGATTTGACTCGATTTTAATTACATGTATATAAATTAATGGTTTTTTTAAGTCAATTATATCATATTTTGTAAATTTATTTATAATATAAAATATGACAGACTTCAATAAATTTGTCTAACGGGTTTCAGATAAACTCATTAAATAACCATTAGCATTTCTCAAAATCATTCAAATTGAATTTTTCTTTTATTTTCTCATTTTTCACTCTCTCTCTCTCTCTATGGTAGTGACGGAGGGAGGAGGGGCAAAAAGGACATGGGGCCACCCTGAAAAATATATATATATATATATATATATATATATGTTTTATATTTTTTTTTTGGATATTCTTAATTGGGTCCCTGTAATGATTTATGACAAACAAAATTAATTGAGTTATACAAGTTGGGCACTACAACAAAAAAATAAAAACAAAAATTCGATATTAAATCTCTTAAAATTAGTAAATTAAAATTGATTCCTTAGAATATTAGTATGATTTATTGCAACCTCATCTGGTTCAAAAATTAAGTAATATATAGTCAAAAATGAGTAAAATATAAAATTTGTAAAAAGATTAAAAATTACAGAATATTGATTTTATTTGTATGAAATAAATTATATAACTGATCCTTGATGTATAGATGTTATCTTATTAATTTTTTTTTTCAAACAAACTCATTTTATGTTTAATGAATTTTTAAGTATCAAATTCAAATTAAACGGTTGATTTACGTTACACCGTGCCTTTAGATACGAGTTACCCGTAATAATTTACTAAAACAGCTGGGCTATAAAAAGAAAAAAAAGATAGCTTGAACTTTAAATTTTATCATCATATATTTTTTATGTTCATATTTATCACATCACCCATTCTCATCACATTTTTTTTTGGCACCAACCATTTCTACCACAAATTGAATTATTTAACTTTGATTAATTTGTAACTCAATATAATTTTTATTTTAGTCAATTTTTATATGCAATGGTTTATACATGTTGATATTTTATAAAGTTCATGTGTTTTAAAAAAATTGTCAGTCATTTTTTTTTTAAAAATAATGGGTAGAAAAAACTATTATTTTATATAATAGAATTGATTTTTTATGTGTTCAAATTTTTTGTTGTATCATGTCTCCTTCAGACACACGGGTTACGACTAGTCTAGTATGATAATAAATTATGAAGTCTTGCTGACAAAAAAAAAAAAGAAAAAAGAAAGAAAAAGGAATCAGAGGTGTTTGATCTTGTGACGGAGTGGCAAGCATGTAAGGACATGGTGGTCCTAACTTTTCTACATGACAGGTGCATGGATAGTATTTATTCGGGACAATGAACAAGCAGGGTGTTAGTGGGCCCAAAACTTATCTGCAATATCACAACCCCAACAATAAATGAACTCTCCTTGCTTTTGATGGGTACTCGTGGGAATAAATTATTCAATTTAAATGCTACATCATATCATAATTATAAGTTGTGTTTGATAATTTTGTGTTTTTTTTTTAATTTTTTGGGATAAATGGAAATAAAAATATATTTTGTTAATGATTTTATTTTTTTTTGCTAATCTATTTTAAAAATAATGTCAATTTTCAAAAAACATCTAAAATAATATTTTTAAAAACATCCAAAAAAAACAAAATAGGTGTCCATTTAATAAGGTCTAGAGTTCGAACCTTATTACAAATAAATAATATATCTTTTTACCTCATCGTATAAAAGGCCAACTCTCTCCTCGTCCCCTCTCCCTCCCTCTCTCTCTCACATAGCATGCGAAGGGTCAAATCTATAGTGGTGGGAGGTTGGATTTGGAGTGGGTTTTGGTGGTGGGGTTGGTTGGAGGAATTTGGGGTTGGGTGATGAGGTTTAAGTGGTGAATTTTTGATAAAATAATGTTATTTACATCTAAAAATTTAATCTAATTTGCTGACATAATGATGTGGCTTTATAGAAATTATTGGATCAACACTAAGTTCTAATATTTAATGGGCCTCACAGTCAATTCAAAATTAACAGTGAATTAGATTAACAAATTATGTCAGCAAATTAGGTTCCAATAACATTGCTCTTTTTGCTATAATACCAAACAGATTTTTTATTTTTTTTTTCAAAATTTTTTAAATATAAATGATTATCAAGAATGTTTATATTTTTAATTTTTATCACAAAAAAAATAAAAACTAGTTCTTTTTTTTTATATAAAAAAACATAAATACTAAAACGTTAGCAAATGCACACTAAGACTTGACTACATTGCTAAAAAAAAATTTGGTATCGTACTTTCAAATTTTATATTTTAATAAATATTTTTATAATTTTTATGAGTCATTTTACAAAAAAAAATTTATCCCTTTTGCGAGTGATTTACTTAACCCACTTAAGAGTAAAATGAGTAGTTCAAACTGTGCTTAATGGTTGTCTTAAAACTTTAGTGTAATTAATTGTTCACTCAAACTGTGCTTAGTCAAATAAATTGTGAAATGTAAATGGAAGTCAAAGCTTTTTATGGTAGGTGCCAGTTTTCTAGCATTGAAATGTCATGTAAGTTTGGATTTGGTTTCGAAGTCTTCCACTTCTTGATACTAATAGTGCATAATGTGCGTTGAACGTAAATTTATTTAAATAATAATTTTTATAAAAAAATATAAATTGTATATATAATTAAATTAAATAATAAATTTGATGTTGAATAATTAATTCGTATTTTAATTATTAATTTATTTTATAAGTCTTTGAGTACTTTTTTTTTTGAGTACTTAATCTATCATTTGTTGTAGGCATTTGCATATTTAATTACATTATAGAGAGCTCAAAATAATTTAGAAGTCTTTATAAAAAAAAAGTCAAAAGCAAGTTAAAATTCAAATAAAAGTAAAAAACAAAAATTAGATGAAAGTATATAGGTGGGTATAATTAATTTTATTATAATAATTAGGGATAAAATAAAAAATCAAAAGTTTTTTGCATATGCTGACATTTATAAATAGTATAGATTGGAAGACTGTAAATTCGTATGCTTGTTTTTTTTTTGTTTAATGATCAGAGGTGTTTGGATCGATTTATGTACATCTTGATTAATCTCTTTTCTGATTCAGTCAAAGATAGGTTATCTAAGACGGGACTAGAGAATTCATGAGAGATAAATCCCTCATGGTTTGACCCCAAGAAGTTGTCAAGATTTGAATTCAAGACATTTATGTTTATAGCTTATCCCTGTTACCATTTGAGCTACCCACCCCTTAGGATTAATTTCAATGTCAGTCTGGAGGTGGCTTAAAAACTCCAACTTTTGGAGGATTCAAAGGAAAAGAAGTTTGGTCGGTTTGAAATCAAACTTATTGAGCGACTTTTTTATCAATTTTTTGGGCAAAAATAATTTTTATCACCACCAAGGAATAGCTAAAAAATGAGGCTTATCCAAGGCTTTCAAAGAAAATTCCAATTTTTCAGAAACACTCCAAACAGTTTCAAAAACTTTTTTATTTTTAACTTTTTTATTTTACTTTTCAAACCTCTCTTCATATCTAATTTGGAATCGAATTAAAAAAAATAGATTAAATAATCTCAATTTCTAATTGTGTTGTTTTTAACTGTCATTTGTCTTGTCGAGCAATGCTATTGAGTCTTAATTTACTGAATTAATTTATTATAATATTTGAATTAACTGTGAGATCCATCAAATATTAGAACTTGTTGTTAATCCAATGATTTTACTGAAACTACATCATTATTATGTCAACAAATTAAATCAAAATTTTAAATTCAAATAATATTACTCTTGTTATAAAAGTTTACACTTTTTACTTTTTTTTTATTTTCTTATCTTGATTTATTTCTTTCCTTTTTATTTCCTCTAAAAAAGAAGTCCTTTTTCCTTTTATGGGGACAGAAGAAATGGAAAAGTTGAAAATAGACTTCCCAGAGAATCTCAATCTTCAACATCTACCAATACTTTTACGTAAATACACTCAATTAAACCTAAAAGATTGATTGCTGACAGAAAAAAGACAAAACAGGCCACTTAAACTCACTCCCTTAGTGCTGAACAACCAATATGGGATAGAAATTCGTTTTTTTTTGTCAAGCATGCAAAGAAACTCACACAAACACCACGCACCACATCAAACAGCTCAAGCACATTATTTGTTCGACTTTGTGGGTCTCTCTCCTCCAATAAGATGCTTGAGCTGTTTGATGCGGTGTGTGTGAGTTTCTTTGCATGTTTGACAAAAAAAAAACCTAAAAGATTGATTTGATGATGAATCTTTGTTACGACTGATACCTTGCTTTGGTTCTTGTACGTTTTATGTCTGAATCTGATACCTTGCTCTGGTTATGTTTCTTTTACATGAAAGCATAGATTATTTACTTGGTCATTAGGCAGCACCAGCAGCACAACTTTTACTTTTACCCTTTTCTAACAACAAATTGTTCGATTCCAAAAGAGCTATTAAAGCATCCCCAATATGACCTTGTTCAAGAAGCTTGCCATTTGAAACATGAAAACCATGGGCAAGTAATCAAGACATTTACAGTCAGGAGTTAGACAAAGGTACCAAAGAAATCATTTCTGTATCATATATTTAACTTTTAACAACCAAAAATTTTATCTCAAAATTACTATTTTTGTGAGTAATTTACTACTTTTGTGAATATTTTTACCACATTTATGGGTGATTTACCACTTTTGTAAGTATTTTTACCACATTTGTGATAATTATTTTTACTATTTTTCTTTAATATAAAAAAAATTATCACATTTATGAGTATTTTTATTATATTTGTGAATATTTTTACCACATTTATGAATGTTTTTATTACTGTTATAGTAACTATTTTTACCATTTTTTCAAGTAACAATAGTAGTAAAAAACCTACAAATGTGACGAAAATGACCACAAATGGGATAAATAGAAGAATGATATGGAAATTTTTTTTTTTTTTTTTGGGTACCGTAATCAAATCCTTATGGTCGAATAAGTCATAGCATCAATAAGGAAACAGAGGTGTGCACCATTGTGTTTTGTTCTAACAAGTTGCAACATATTAAAGTTACTATCCAAGGCAAAGGGATCGAATGGATGTAAAAATATTCATATTCCATTTTTCAAAAAACTCCTCGCAGACTACATACAAATGTGAGTTTGAACCATAGAAAATGATAACAAACAATATTTTGTATTCGTATTTCGGTGTATAATTGACATCTAACCATGACTTCTTGGATCAACCACTTGACGTACCTTCCGAGATTCAGCACTTGAAAACTGTCCCACAACACGGGCATGAGGTATGGATGCTTCCCCACGAGCAAGGGCATCCACATTCTCTAGCAGATACCGTTTTGGAAGCCTGCCTACAACATTACCCTCCTCATTCCCTTTACTGTCCAGAAAAGCAAAATGTGGGATACCCTCAACTCCAAACTCATCAAGCTCTTGTTCCCACTTTGTGTTGTCAACGTTCAACATAACAAAATTTACTCGGTCCCTAAATTAAAACATAATTTTTTTAAGCTAAGAGTTTATTAAGAAGTAGCCTACAAAGGTAAAGGAGAAATCAACTAAAAGACCAATATTATAGGTAAAAGAGCAAATTTTGCCAAATGGTAGCAAAACAGGAAACTATAATAGAATTTTTCAGAAATAATTAAAAATCTAGTAGATATATTCCTGGATGTTAAACCGCCTGCACTACAAAACTACTAATGAAACAACTAGTATCCAATATGGTACAACATGTAACAAAATTTAAAGATCATTACTTGTACTGCTGCTCAACTTTGTATACATCTGGTGCTAATTCTCGACACACTTCACACCAATCTGCATAAAACTCCACTACAGTGGGCTTCCCATTTGAAAGAGCCTAAACAACAAGCCAAATGTAATATGAGACTAATGTCAAAATAAAATTCAACACTTGGATAGCATATAGGAATCAAATCAAAACAGCATTATCTTGCATTGCAGGGTTGGTACATGGAAAGCAAAGGTGACTGATGAAGTGGAAAGGTTACAAAGGCAGGGATGGGTTTTGTACGTGTTATATGTAAGTTCATGAAGAGTTGAGGAATGCAGAACTAGTCTAGTTATTTTGTGACTTGACTAGCGTCTAGCGGTGACTATTTACTTCTGCCACTCATTAAATAAGAGTTGGCAATCCGTTTTCTCAACTTCAAACTCAAAGAATGAAATTATGAACCCCAGTTTGCCATTAGGAATTTAGGGGTAAAGAACCACCACTTAATCCTTTTGTGCCTGACATTAAGATAATTATACTCCTCCTGCATTATAAAGAATAGAATAAGTTGCTTGAGAACAATTCATATTTTTTTTTTTAATTTTTTGGGGGAGGGAGACTTAAACCCTTAACCTCAAGAAGGTAAAATCTTCATAAGACAAAGAGTACCATTGGACCAAAGGCCCATTGGTGAAAACAATTCATATCATAATCCAGCCTTTCAAACACAATTGGCCCAAGAGCCTATCGCTAATCAGCATGCAATATATGACATAACCAAGAAACTCTTATCATTGTTTTGTAGAAGTGCATGACAAGCTAACCTGTTCATATGGTAATGCTGCAGCAGAGAGGTCTTTCAAGGAAATACCTAAATCTAGCCGTGTTGATGCAAAAAGTCCAACTGCTGCAAGGATAGAAACAACTGCTATCTGCCGATTGGTTTTTCTGCTTGGATATTCAGGAAGTCCAGGATCAATAGACGAACCTGTAGCTTGGGTGGTGTTACTATCATTATCAGATCCAGGCTCCCCTGATAGATTTTCCTGCTAAGATGTATTTGGTGCATCAAATGTTTAACGTACATATTGCATACAATAATAACACCAACTTAACACTTCAAGGGGACATGAACTAAAAATTGTGCTAACATAGTTGGGAAAAAGAAGCCCAGAGGCTAACTAAAAACCCTATTATAAAAAAGGTGGGTCAATGTACCAGACTACGCCACTCTAGGATCCGGGGACGGTCAAATGTACGCAACCTCACCATTGTTAACGAAGAAACTGTTTCCAGTACTCAAACTCTTGACGCTTAGGTCACAATAGAGCAACCCTATTTTATCTCTTCTTTAAAAAAACCATAATTACCTGTCATATTCATCCAAAAATTAGCATTTACATTTTGCATTTTATTCAAGATGGGGCAGACTCCTCTTTCTACACTGCAAATATAAGTTTTTTTCTTTTTCCCTTTCTTGGTATTTGAATTGACCCCATGTCTGTGTTTGTTTGTTTATTTATTTATTTATTTTATTTTTTATGGGGGGTTGGGTGGCGCAAGGCAAAATTTGAAAAGAGATCAAGAAGCTGAAGCATAAAGGAAGCAAAATCAACATAAGCATCACCATGAGGGTAAAATCAAAAATTTGTAGGGCCAGAAGATCTGTGTGAAAGGGAAATGGCTCAAGCAGTTGGAAACTTTCTCCATGAGATTGCATGGACACGGTAGGCTTCTTATTTTTCTGCTATCCAAACCACTAAACATTGAAATGAGTTATGGCACATAGGAGTTTGCCGTTAGGTATTCAACCGGATAGTCTAACAAGACAGTAAATAAAGCTCAGGTCTGCAATCAACTAAGTTGTAGTGGAATACTACAACCTCTAGATAACACTTGAAGGACTGAGGTTTAGATTTTAGAGAAGGGCTGAAGGTTTTTGGCACCTGACTCATAGAAACTTTGAAGTTATTGAGCATGATTTGTGAAACAAGTTTCTCTTTTTGCCCAAGCTTCTGCACTATGTGCATAATAAATCGTCTAACTTTCTTGAAAACTGTGTTCCATATGCTCAATTTTGTTTATTGCGTGGCTTTATTAAAATAACGGGTCTCTTGGTTATGAGTATCACTCAACAGTCTATAAATTCTATATGCTCCCTGGCTCAATTGAGAAGAAAAGGCCCATTGCAGTTGGATTTTACCTCATTCCACGCCCTCACCGTGACGCCACCCTAGGTCAGGAGTAAGAAAACGCGATTGGTAACCTCATGCATCCATGAAGAACCCAATTGTACCACAACGTCAAGAAATTTAGGTCAGGGGCCAGAACTCCCTTGTAGCAGCAGTAATGTTTTAGTGGAAGGAGTACAAGGATCATAATTAGGAGCCAGCAGAGAGTCAACATGCTGCTTTTAAATAAAAAGTGATGCTACCACTAATAATCCCTCAGAATTGAAACCAAATATTACCCAATGATATGAAGCCAATAATTATCTATCAAGGGACTGCAAATAAAGTTTACACCGGTCCAATAAGAAAATGGACTTGGTCTTAAAGCTATACAAAGATACACTCTGATGAACCAAATAATGGGAGGTTATGTACATCACTACTGAATAGGAAGAGAGCATACCTTTGGGGAGGATTCAGTCGGAGAAGGGTTCGTTTGGCAATATAATCGTTGATATCTGCGACTTTTACTCTGCGGTTGGACTACGAATTTTAGGGGGTGCAGAGATTGATTGTGTTGGAAATGATACAGCCTGAGTTTATGGAATCCAACAGGGTTTGAAGCCACATGAGCCATGGAGGATTCTGTGCGTCTAGTGCAACAGTTCAAAGTGCAGGTAAGATACTTCGAATTTGGGCAGACATCTAGATTTTTTGGCTAATCCATGAAAAGATTAAATTTTGATCAGAAAAATTAGATCAACGGCATGCCTTTGCTTTCTTTTAGGTAATTAATTGTGCATTTTATAATCACATATCATCAATACAATTACATTCAGCAAAAAAAATTATTAGCACTAGAACAAAATTAGCCACGAGCCAAACATCCCCTTCATTCTCTCTCTCTCTCTCTCTGAAAAGTATTCAATCCCATGGTATCACCATCCAAATGCAAATGAACAAAATGAACTCCATTTTTTTTGTGGTATTTCTTGAATCTCGTATGGTTTCCCTCTCTATATATTTGTTTATTATTCGATGATGATACCGTTACATATACACGCACAAAGACCTCCCGGTACCACCCCCCAACACTGAAACCACCGCCCGCAACTCCACCCACCAACAGCAAAAGTGGACAATTTCGATCTCAATTAAAGATAGTACATGTATACATACACTGCAAGTGGATCAACATCCATTGTCGGCAAACCACCAACACTGCCGCCAGCGGCGCCGGCGCAATTTCAGAACAATCTCAATTTCTCTCTCAATCTCATCGTCTCAATCAAATTTTCTAATCAAACTTGGGTTTTCTTTCAGATTTTAAATTTGGGGAGAATAACAAATTTAAACCCAAAGAACTCAACAGAGACATAGAGAATAAGAGATATAAAACTACATACACACATATAAACACATACAAAGCGGTGAAGAAGGATGAAATTGCGATGACCAGAGAGAAATCTTATATTTGAGTCGAAGGGAGAGAGAGAACGAAAGGCGCAGACTGGGAGCAGATGAGAGCTCCTGTAGAGTGAGCTGCGATTTGCGTGTGAAACCCAGCGTCATCGTTTGGTTTAGATATTGCCAGTTGGACCAGTTATACAGATTATAGCTAATTTCACTTCATACCCTAAAAGTTTTGAAAATGTCAATTATTCCCCTCAGACTTAAAGTTGTTTCGCATTAGAGCTTCTATGTTCTATCAACTCGGATGGACCACATTTCCGACGTGGACCATCTCTTCTGTTTTTTTGGGTCTAACAGTCGGGGGTGTGCAGGACTGTTAATCAAACTAATCCACTCGAGCTTGGCTTGAGTTCGGTTTGAGTTCGGCTCGTTCAAGCTCAGTTTGTTTTTTAAACGAGCTTAAACAAGTTTTTAAGCACGTTTAAAAAACAAGTCTTACAAGTTCGACTAAAATTCGACAAGTTCAGCTCGTTTATGTGCAAATACTCGGGCTCCACTCTGGTTCAACTCGTTCAGGCCCGACTCATTTTTTAAACAAGTCGAATTTAAACAATTTTTAAAACTCAATTAAGAAACAAGTTTTTCAAACTCGGCTCAAACTCGACTCGGACTTATTCGATTAATAGCCCTAGGGGTGTCTAAGTCAACTTACGCGTTCCTCGATTAATTCTCTCCTTTAAATAAGATTCAAATTCAAAATATTTGAATTTATAGTTTATTCGTTTTTCTACTTAAACTACCTTGAAATTGGATCATCTCTTTTATACAAATCTCTCATACATGCAAAATAGTTGACGAACTTGAAAAAATTCCATTGCTTGCTTAAAGACCTCAAAATGTTATAAATGGATGTATTTGTCCAACCATTCGCATAATCTAGACTTTCCTTCTGAATTCATATTCACTCTAATTATTTTTCTTTTAATTTTATTTAATGGTAAATCATCCACTTATAACTAGTGGATTATTCTTGTTAGGTGATTTTTCATTAAAAATATTACAGAAAACATTAATTACAAGGAATCTCACTTTTGTTCTTACTTAATAACGTCTTTACTAAAGTTGCAAAGAAATTTAATTCCAAGCATAGGGGCTCATTTAGGATAGTTTGGGATGAGAGAACTTCTATAAAATTTTACCTTCAGTGGTTTCTTCTCCCTCAAACCTCAAACCACGATGGTCAACCGAGTTCAAGAAAACAATCGACACAAGTCTGGACATCTTATAACCAAAAAAACATATTAATAATCAACAAAACTATATGCCCTAAATCAACTGCAACTATTGAATCAATGATGAAACCGACTAATCACTGATCCGATGGCTGCAGATTAATTTGGTGCACACTTTTGGTGTGCATAACATTGCTCTTAATAGTCATTGAATAGTTAATTAAAATTTGTGAAACCCACAAATGGTACGATTCACATTGATTTGGAATCCATACAAGATGAGCATAAACCTTGCAAGATTTATCTAATGAGAGAGAGAATAAAAGTTTCAGGCGAAGGCCAAGAGCATACTTGAAGAATGGGTTGCATGCAAGCAAGGCATTGTTTCGAGCCTGCAAGAGGGATGTCATTTTAGGGTAGCTAATCTTCCAATCGACTGGCCACAATTAACAAAAAGGATGGCGTCTAAGACCATTGCACTCCTGTCCATGACCGGAGTAGCAATTTAAAAAAAGAAACAAAGATATATATATATATATATATAATCTCATTACAACATGGCTACAGCTACATATAATACCCGAGGATTTATCAATAAGTTCAGATCATACATCTTCTGACAATCCACACCTGATTGAACATGTATGTTAAAAACTGAAGTTGATTCCTGTTCATTCCAAAAACACTTCTAAAAAAAATTGTGCCCAAGTAATCAGGATGAAATGCATGCTATTGAGGGTACAGATTTTATATTATTTATCAGCAAAATTGAATCTGGATCAACGATATCACATTATCGAGGAAAAGAAAGAGATAATGAAACCGGAAGGGCCTTCACTCTTGTCATATACGAGCAACATAAGAATTGGCCTGAGTGACATATCTCACCCATCGGTAGGGATTGTACGTTTTGGATTTCTTCGCTATTTGCAAGTATTTTACCTGCATCACAGGAAGAATTAGGTGGTCAGGTTACGTAGACGAACAAATCAGTCTGAAGTCAATGGGTTGCCATCCAGTTATCTTCAGTACCAAAAAGGACTACAGAATTGCAGATGATTTTGCCTAATCAAGTGGAGTCCATGTAAACAGGCCCTACACAATAAGGAGATATTTCTGCAAAGATAAACTATAAAGGCTATGTCTTACCTGCAGCCTTGAAGCATTATACATAGGGATGGTGAAGGTCATGCTCACAGGCCCAGCTTCCTTCGTGATATTTCCTAAATTGAACAACAATAATTGCATGCAATTCGCATAAATTTTTCACTATAAAAATAACTAGTCAAAAAAATCCACATAAAGCCTACGGTTGAGATTAGAAATTTCAAAGACTTTTTTAGAGTACTAATCATACCATGCGACTCCTGTGAAAAAGTTAACTTTGCACGCAGCGTATGTTCAGACCCACCAACAATCTGTTGTAAATCACACTTGTTAATAACTTGGTCCAAGAAAAAGCATAAACTGCATCAAAGAGAAAATTTTCTACAAAATGACTTCACTCTGAAATTATTCAGCAGCACAACCAATGAGAGCATTAGGAAGAGACATTGCCTTCTTTAGATTCCATTCAAGCCTCCTATTTGACTCTTTGAAATCTGTCATTTGTCCAACTGCTCCTGGTTCCAACTCAAAACTAACTCTGGAAAAACGTTAAACAGACATATAAACGTTAATGCTCATTATGAACAGCCTTTATTGATTCTAGTAATGCTCATAAATGATGTTGAACTATTTTTTTGAACTGAATGATGTTGAACTTTCAATGGCCACTTTCCCTACACTAAGCACAAACAGATCTCTCTGCCTCAGCCTGGGCCCTTGTTCGCATAGGTGGGCAAGGTTAGGCCATCTTTTATGGGAATGGATCATGTCTACCAGTTTGACTGTCTTAATAGGGAAAAATTCTTCATATAATATCTGGCATATCACTACATTCAGTACCCAGGTGCATCAAACAAGTCATGACGCTCTTACAACATTTTTATCCTCAGATCCAGAAATGCATAAACTTGCACATCAATTTATGTACTGAAGAATAATTGATAACAATATGTTTTATTGGATGACATGTCATCCATCATCTAAAAGTATTCAATTGACATCAAATATCACTACCAAAAAGTTGAAGCTACTAACTGGGTTCCAATACAACTTGTATATTAATCTTGCAAGGAAATAATTGTATGTATTGCATGATACCTGGTGGTGTATGTTGGCAGTGGCATCTGTACTACAATTGTGTTTGCTGTGCTGCTTGATGGAAACTCAGCACGAATTTTCAGAATTACTTCAGCCTGAAATAACCAAAGCAAAGTGTACATTTGGACTGGAAACAGCAGCATGTTTTCCATAGTAGGCACAATCAATAATGAAAGAAATTGAAGGATCCAAAACGTAGAAACACTCTGGTGCCCATTTTAACCACTACGACAGAAAGCAAATAACAGCCACTGCAACCGCTTTCAGGAAAACAAAAAAAGCAATCTCCATTTTTCTCAATAAGTAAAAATATATTTATGCTCTTGACCATAATATTTGTGTGGTCATAATATTGACCAACAATAACATAAAATATGGCCTCCACCTTAAGGGCGCCAGCTTCTTCAATCAAAGTGTTGATACGAAAAGGAGGCTTGAATTCCTGGGTCATCCGGTAATTCATGACAGGAAATTCACCATCGGGTGGCAACTGATAAACATTAGCAAGAAGCAATATTTTAACAAACAGAAACCACAAATACCATACTTTAGAATAAACAAAATCATTTAGCATGCATTGTCCTGTATCACTCACCAGAGACAGAGTTCTGTCCACGTCAAAACTCTCAAGATGCACTGATTCATGGAAATTACAATCATCTAATATGACGGCTCCTGAACCAGAGGAACCACCATAATCTGTGGCAGAAAGCAAAATTCTATCAGGTTCAGAAAGGCTGATAAAGCATCATTAGGGCTAATTTGGAATGTATTCTTTTGAATTGATTTGGCATCATCTTTTCAGTTTCAACTCCCTTTCAAAATGCAAGTTAAGTCGAAGACTATTTCTATACAAAAGTAAGCTCCAGTTGCTTGCGCATTTAAATTGGAGATGGAGTATTCCTCACAAGACCTTGCCAACGGCCAATCAGGTCACATCTACATGTTTCTCACTCCCCCTCTCTCTTATTCTCTCCCTCCCTCGTAGTTTTGTAGACATAAGGATGAGAAATCAAAAAATGCCTATTATTCAAAATGCAGCATCACTTGTTGAAAAACCAATTTTCTCTTAGGATAACATTGGCAGATACTTTGCGAAAAAATAAAATCATAGCACATAATTTAGCTAACAAAATCATAGAAGCAGAGGAAAGAAAAAACTCCAATGAACAAGTTACCCACTTTGAATCAGCTTAGAACATACAATTTCATGGAGCCACGAATATCACAACACACAACACACAACACACAACACAGGACCTCAACCAAACTGAAAAAAAACAAGATAGCAAGGAATTTTGACAACACCATAGATTGATCTCCCGCCTCTCCCTATGCTCAGCTCCTCATTAAGAGCTAATCGGATTTCTGGGTTGCCCGTGAGATAGCTCTTCATTTGAATAGTGCCATCAATCTCAGAAGTCAATATATATCCCTGTTTAATGAACAACATATTGGTAAAAAATGGAAATAGAGAGGTACGACACAGGAAAATGGAAACGATAACAATTTGCATATATGTAGATAATCTCAAGTTTGACAACATCAATGAACAAAATCCATGACAAGTAGGCATTATAATCATATACCAAGTGCAATTGATGAGACACTACCAAGAGAGTCACAAGCATACCCTATTCTCATTTTATAATGTTTGTGTGTAAAGTTATTGCGTACATCACAAGAATCCAATTAAGAGTGAAGATGCCAATTCTATTTGCCAAGAAAATATTAATATAGATAATTTCCTCAAATAAGATGTTGCCAAAGCTGTCACATAATTCACCAAATGCAACTCTCCACCTTTCTCTTGGCTTTGGATGGCGGCAAGAAAATAGATCAGATAGACGCAGAGTGGGTTTACGTAGCAGCCTTCTTCTTTCGAGGGTCAAGCATAGTTCACTAGAGTATCTCTCCCAAGTGGCGCACCAAAGGAAAAAGTGGTCCACTAAATATCGGTAGTACCTTATTAAAGTGGGATGACTGATAGACAAAATCGATGAGTTGGAAACACACAAAGGTGAGGCAAAATAGAAACCAAACAATATAACCACAGCCTGAAACAATGTTTATTCACAAGAAATGATTCTAAAAGTTGCTGAATTCCTATGCCACCAGAGATAGCCCATCAGAAATTTGCTTACCGAGACCACTGTATCTTTTTTGTATAGATGAACAATGAATTCATGAACAGAAACATGGATACCATTATTCCATGAGTGCACAGATGGGTCCTCTTTATCATATACAAAAACTCTTTGGTCATAAGAACTCTGCTAGTATAAAATGAGTGATTTCCGCTCTCCAACCCTGGCCCAACCTGAATGCAGACATCCAACGCTTTTCACTAATTGAACATAGCCCGATGGCCTGTCCATGACCTCTGGATGTGGAAGGCATCCTTGGGGTGATCTGGGGTCAATCCCTAAATTTTTCTTCCTTTTGTCGCAGTTCGCTCAAAGAATTGAAGGGAGATAATGCATCAAGTTGTTCAGAAGGGCCAATTCGATCCTTCCCCAGATTATGAATCCTAGAAGAGTTGTCGACTCCATTTTGAAATATAAATAATACAAACTATAGCCTTTAGTTTCACTTTTATCCTTCCATTTTCACAGAAGGATTATCCTTTCAACTTCTACACTCATTTGAAATTTAAGATTTGCATATTTTAGTCCTACTGTTTCATATAAAAATTTACATATAAAATTCCTGAAAAACGAATAACCAATTAGAAGAATTATGACAAGGCAAACAGGATAGAGATTGATGACTGAGCATAACCCATTTGTCTGGGCAGCTGTCAAGTGTTGCCCAGTTGCCTTGGAAAGTGCCCAGCTGTTGCCTATGTAGACAGGTGAGAGCCCAAAAACTTGTGGGGCCGCCTAAATCATGGTTGTCTAGGCAACATGGACAGCCTAGGCGGGCACCCCGTGCTCCGAACCATAACATACAACTGTTTAAAACATGTTCCATTTCAGTCCGAATAATGATCAAAGTTGCCAGTCTAGTACTTCCAAACACATGCTTACCTTTGTTCTGTCCATTACTACTTCAAAGTTCATTCTAGTGTGATTTGAAGAGGAAATTACCACAAGATTGAGATAGATATAGTTGAAATTTCAATTAAAAAAACTACGGCAAATAAGACCTCGTCATATTCATCCTTGCTAACATTCCATACAAAAAAAGAAAATATTTTTATGGTTTGAATTTTTCAATCACCTTAACGAAGGAGGTGCACTTCAACAAATTCAGCCCTTCTTATGAAGTGGCTATGGGTATAAAATCAAATTCTTAACACCTTGTACCACATTTATTTCATATGTGAGTTACACATAATCACAAAGCTTGAATAAACTGAAGTGGAAAATACTCACACTTGAGCTAAATGTAACGCTTATTTTCTCAATTATATCCACAAAAATTTCCTCCCTCTTCCTTCCACCAGGTTCATTTGCAACAACAGACTTTGTAACAGCAGTCCCTGGCATTCTTTTGTTCCCTTGCTGCAAGAATCAAAGTTGTAGGAGTCAATCATTACATGTATGCAAGTCAACTAAAATAAGATGTCACGTAAATTTGTCAATTTGACTACATTTTAAGCAAATGACTCAATACCATAAAGATGGCAGCAGGACCAAGGGGAGGCAAACGTGCAGCATCCACCACAATTGGCTCGTTGAACACATAAGACTTCAAGACTTCGGTTGATGTCGTTTGCACGTAGCCAAAATCCTGTCATAAAAACAATAATATTGAGTCGTGTTTCAGATCATCAGTTCAAAGATGGTGTTTTCATCCCTGGGTAATTCTAGGGTCTCTTATAGGGCCATACATATTTTAGTATCAAGACCAGGAGTCACAATAAGGTTTCCCAAAAACAATTATAACTCATAGCCAATACATTGCAAAATATTCCACAGGCTATCAAGGTTCGAGAGTTTGTGAAAAAAATAATGTAATAGCTATTGGACAGATAAAAAAGAAAAAAAACGGAAGTTCAATTCAAATCAGCATGTCAATTACATTTGCAGTAACGCGACTTAATTCAAACCTTAAAACAGAGAATGATCAACAAATAGTTCATCAAATGTAAATACATATCATGATATGACACTTACGATGACTTCATCAAGCAACTCATATACAAGCACAAAATTTTTCCTTAATGAATCTTCATTGAGAACTCCAAGGTAATCCTTGATGACTCGTGCAATCCTCTGTAAAAGCTCCAAGACGAGAGAAGGGGACACATTGGTTCTTGTGGTTGCAACAAACAGCAATCCAACCACCTTCACATGAAAATAGTTCACACCGTCCACGTTCTATTGGCAGGAAAGATACAATAATATCAGCATATTTTGCATCAGCTAAAAAAAAATTAAGTCTAATAATCTACCGACAACATGGAATACTGAAGCACAGGAATAGTGAAAAGGATAGTAAAGGAGCAACAAAGTGATCACTTTGGTTCATCACTAATATGCTACTTAAGGAAATACATAGCTGCAAATTTTAGATTTTCAATTTGACAGTACACGTAGAGCACAGTCAGAATCATTCTCAAATGCCACCGAAAAAAGCAGCTTTGTCAAAGGGTCATAGAACAAAATTGATGAACCCCACCCCTCCCCAGAAGATTACACAAAACAAATAAAGATATGCTGCAAATGCGCTATGAAAGTAAGAACTTGACAAAGAATGAAAGAAAGCATGCATGACTCACAAAACAAGCTAACATTAAATGTACAATTTCTGTCAGCTACTAATATTACTTATAAAATACCTACAAAGACAGGCGGTGCCTCCTCTTCACCATCCTCCTTCCAAAACTTCACTTTGCGGAAAAATATCTCAGCACTTCCTTTTGGTACATCACCACGACCTGCATACATTCAAATAAATAAGAATGTTTAATACACAATAAATTTAAATGGGAGAAACAATTTACTTTGCACGTACTGTGATGATAAAACTTCAAACATCAATGACGAAGATGGGTCAATGGGATTTCAATTAAACCACCAACTCAAACTTAAGTTGATACACCTCAACATGTCCCCTCTCGTGCAAAATAGATTTTGGAGCAAGCACATGGAAAAAAAATTTAATCATCAAGGTGGTGGTGAAATTCCGCCTCCTGGTGTGAGACCATGTTAAGCCACCGATTCATATAAAAGCTTAGGCTATTAGCGAAGGTGTAATTTAAATATTTACATGCATCAACAACCTAAACCCGACAGATAACTTGATAAAACAACGCACCCAATTCGACAATTGACTTGCCACTCTACACATAAACAGCCCTAAATAATAAGCAGTCATCAAATGATACCCTTGGAAATTATAATCAATCAATCAATCAGTAGAACTTTCACGCTTTAAATTACCAAGAAATAGAAGTAAACAACGATAAATCAACTACCCAAAACAAAACAGAATTGGAATTTAAGCTATAACTAAAATCATTTAGCACAAATTTTACTCAAACATTCAGACACAGCCTGATTCAGACATAGCTACGATGATTCACACATGCACACAAAATGCTACAAATCCTACAACGTCACAATGAAGCAATCAATAGATCCAGAAAAAAAATATATTCACCGCATAAACGACTTTTCGCATGAAATCTCTACAGAAAACATATATATATATAAGAATACAAAGCAGAGAGAAAGACTGACAGTCGCGGAAGACGATGTTGTCGCCTCTCTGCGAGAGCACGAAGAACTGCGAGATCATGACTATTTACTATACTCTACTCAGCCCCGATTTGGTGTCTCTCTGCGAATTTAGCTCAAGCTCGATTTCTCCGATCTAGTATTTATGTATGAACTAAATACACCAATTGCACCTAAGGAATTCATTAGCTCGCATTTGGACCCTAAACTACCAATTAAACCTATTGAATTCCCAAGTATGTATAAAGTGTGTGTAAAAAATAGACTAATCATTGGATTGCAACAATCAAATCCTTAAAACTTTAAATAAGTTTTTCAATTTAGTCATTATGTCAAAATTTACTAATTTTATTACGATAGAATGGTCTATTGTGACCAACACATGATTTTTTTTTTTGAAAGGAAAAAAAAAGGGGGGGGTATATTTGTCATTTTTAACATATAGTCTTACTGTATTTCATTTAATTTTGAGAAGATAAAAAGACAACAAACCAAAAAATTTAAAAAAAAAATATATATATATATATAGTTCCAGAACTTGAGAGGTATGTCAAATAAGGAGAGAAATTTTGATGTATTTGAGATATATATTTTTTATTGGACAGATATAACCTCACAAGTAAATCTTGCGACATCATTTAATCATACCAAATTAATAAATTTGAATGAAAATACTAGATGAAAAGTCGATTAAAACTTTAATTATTTCAATTGCAATTGTAAATTACCTTTACATCTAAATTGGTACAAATAGAAATTGTCATGTACTTCTCGTGGGTATCTAAGGCCCAATTTGGTTCATGGAAAAAGAGTGGACATATGAATGAATGGGTTGGAATAAATAGTCTACTCCATATTCGGATCAATTATTTTTATTTATAATCACGGGTTCAAATAAAAATAATGTATTTTAACATTATATGTGATTTTATCGTAAAAAATAACTAAATTATAAAAGATAACATTTGATTTGATGTTATATTGCAAGACCCACAAATACATTTCTTATCCTTCTCTTCATGAAAAATTATTCCCAAACACGGGATAAGATAAAGATAAATTATATTTTTATCCAAATTTATCATAAAAATTCGATCAAATAGGTTTGGATTGGTCTATTTAGATCAATTCAATTATAATCAACCAAACTTACCAAATAGACCCAAGAGGTATTTGGTGGCCAGAAATGCTACAACGATCAAATTTTATGATTAAATTTAAAGTCCAAATGACATGACAGCATATTATTTAAAATTTTTCTTGGGAGCTTAAATAACATGACACCAATTAAAAAAGTCAAAGTCAGCTGCTATGTTATTTAAGTTTAAAACTTGGTTCAAAAATTTGATTAGCGTAGCATTACTATTTGATGACATGGTCTCACTCTCGTGCGACTCAAGCTCTCCTCTAGAGATTTTGTTTTTTTCATGTTGAGGTGTACCAATTGTTATGCCACAGCAGCGCTAGGTAGCAAAGTTAGTATAAAAAAACTGTCGTGTCATGGGAAATTTTTCTCTATACAAATTTTTGGACAAAGTTTTTGAACAGAATTTCAATAGACAAGAGGTGTAAACATTGCGAAGTGTGAAGCGATCTTATACTGAATAATTAAGAGATTGAAATAATTACACCCCTTAGAGATTCACTAAACCATAAAAGCATATACGACTAATTCAATTCAATCGTTTGGAAGGATTACAAGAGATTCTCATAGTAAAAAAGAATCAATCAAAACGAGAGGATCCCGGAAATCGATTGAACTTCTTACCATCAAACAAATAGGAAACATAAGACCTTTAGGGTTCAGCCTCATTTGTGTGCCTCATATTAGTATTTTGTTAACGTGGTCTCTAATCTATAACATTCAATTTTAAATGAATATTACATGGGGTTAAGATCGACTATATTTCACCTCGTAGAAGATAATAAGTGATAATCAGACACTTCTCAATGACAAACCATTACCACTCACGTCACTGACCGCACCAGTCAAATCATGGCCCATTTCGTACAAGGTAGAACTTGGTCCACAAGCCCAGAACATCCTAAAGCCCGATTATCCACCACAGCCTTCAAGGACTTTTTCAACGTCCCAACATCTTCCTCTACTCCACCACCACCTTCTTCTTCCCTCCACTGCACAACCACCACCGCCTTGGTCCGCCCTCCAATAGTCGCCATTTCCGCCCTCACCGCTCTCCCCCGAACAGACCGGATAGCCTCCGTCAAGTCGCGGTTCAGCCCCGGCCTATCCTCGCAACAGACCGTTGCCTTTACCATTCTGCCCTCATCTTCCTCACAGTAACTTACCGTGGCCTCGTCATTCTCGCTGGGTAAAAAGAACGGCCATGATACCGAACCGCCGCTACAGCATCGGTCGCGATCCTGACGCAGCACACCGTGATTGGCCACCTTCTTCCTCAGCTCCTTCATGTGCCGGACCGTCTCTGTCAGCACTGAAGCCTTATCACTCTGCACAATCATGGAAGTCCCTCAACATGTGTGTGTGTATTATGGCTCCAAATAGCAACAAAAATTTATACAACTCACCAAAGTAGGTGAGAAGTTATGCCTAATAATTGGGTTAGTCATAATTTAAATGGCTTGAATTTGAATTTTAATAATTTTTTAAAACAAATTTACGAGAGATTTGTATCTTACGAATACCTAAGTCTTGGCGTGAATTAGTCAAAGTGCGTAAACCGACTCGGACACCGCTCGCCTAAAAGTCGCATTTTGTAAGATGTTTTAAGATTGATTATAAACTTTTTTTATTCTAAGTTGACCATAAAAATTCATGTGATGAACCCAAAAATTGGCAAACTTGCATACCAGCTCGAACCTTTGTACATACTCAGTTTTATGGTGTGTGTGTGTGTGTGTGTGTGTGTGGTGTGAGGGGGTTGAGGATAAGTAGCTTACTTTGGAAAGGTGAGGGAAGAGTTGGCGGAGTCTGTTGTAATGGAGGTTGATTCGTTCTCTGCGTTTCTGCTCGGCAATGGCGTGTTTCTTGGATGATTCTTCTGATTTCTTTCTTGGGGACTTCGATCCTGAGCTCGAGTTTGAAAGTACTCCACCGTCCAACTGCTTCTTCATAGACTTTGGTTCTTCAGCTAGTCCATGTAGATTTGTAAGGCTCTGAAGGCCATAGTAGCCTTGGAATGGAAGCATATTCTTTCTTCTAAAGTTAACTCCTCCTGTGTGTGTGTGAGAGAGAGAGAGAGAAATAAATAGGTTAATGCTTGAAGGTGGTAGAGAAATATTTCAATATAATTGCAATTTAAGGGAAGCAATAAATGAAAAATATATTAATTAATAAATATCAAGGATTTATAATTATATGCAATCAGAATAAATATTAATTGTCAAAACTTTTTTGGGTAATCCAACTATTAAGTTTACTCGTTTAGAGATAATGAGATGTGAGTATCTGTTTCAAAACTTATTTGACTTTAAGTACCATCTTCAAATTTATTTTTTTTTAAGTTCTCTTTTTCATCAAATAGTTGTCAATAAGTACATATTTTAAAATATTTTTAAATTCTTTTTAAAATGTATTCCATAATTACCCCTATCATAAATAGTACATACCTACTTGAATGTGAGACTTTCAAGATTCTTTTTTGATATTTGTGTATCATTTGAATTTTAAATTTTCATAAAATAATCTTGAAAGTTTCTCATTCAATTAAGTATGCACTATTTACGGTAGGGGGTAAAAGGACTTTTATGACTTTTTTTAACATATATACTTCTATCCCAATTATTTTAAAAAGTGTACTTTATCTTATTAAATTTTTTGGGAGGTACCGGCCTCCCTAAACCCCTAGTCTTTAATAACCTAATTATTCTATGTTCAATTCTTTTTCATTCCGGCCTAGCCATCATTGTCTCTTAGAGATAAGTTTTATTCCAATTTAAATTATGATAGTCAATCATAAAACTCGAAAGAATAGTCACGATGAGCCTGGATAGCTATGACAAAAAAAAAAAAATTGGTAAAGCTCTAATGGTATTAAGGATCTGAAGATCTGGAAGTGTTGATAGGTATACATACGATGAAATGGCTACTTGGAAAGAAACAAAATGTGAAGAAGCTACGTCCACAGCAGATATCTGTAAAAGCAAAGCATGTGAGATTGGCAGCAGATGTTTGGAAACATGAAACTGTAGTAGTGCAGTGACAGACGACAGTATCTTTGACGTTGAAGGAAGGTGAGGATGACTGTTGGACTGCCTTTCTTTTTTTACCGTTGACGGTTAAAACGACAAATCATTGCACATGAGACAGGATTATTTGGTAGAAAAAGCCCATTATCTCGCTTGGCAATTGTGTATAGGGCTGTTAGTCGGACGAATTTTAATCGAATTTGAATCAAATTTGAAATATTTTTTTTTTAATTGAGCTTAAAATATTGTTCAAATTTGACTTATTTAAAAAACAAGTTGAACTTAAACGAGTCAATGCCCGTTATCACGCTTCGCAATTGTGTACCCATAAATAACAAATGATATTTCACTTGATAATATTTACGAGTCGTAAATTCGAACGAGTTTTTAATATCTTGACAATTTTTTAAGATCAAATTATAAATACCTTAATTTCGATGGGAATGATTTGTCTTTGACCGAGATGGAGAGGGAATTAGTTAAAGTGCTCGTAAGTTGGTTAGGATACTCCTAACCGTTGAACAAAAAAATATTTATATATCCACAGAAACTTAATTTGAGAACCTAATTAAAGATTTAATTTAATTGAATGTAATTATTGGATTAGAGTAATGCTATTAAACCTAAAAAACTAACATAATGAAATTAGAATAAAATTGTTTGTTATTAAAAATACTATATATCCGATAAAGGGAAACTTGCTCGCCGTTAAAAGAAAAAAGTATAGCCAGTGCACGAGTATTTTGCCATGTTTAGTTACTAATATGACAACCCATGTTGAAATATATATATATCAAAGTAAAAGAAAGTACGAAATTTGTGTGTATGAATAGCAATATTCATGAATAATATGGAGCATGATCTCTTTGGCCATGTGAATATAGATACAATTTGTGAAAATGCTACTTAAATGAATGCTTAATTACTCTCAAGAGTGGCCAAATATTCTCCTACGTTAATGATAATAAGAAGTCGTATCCAATATACTAAACTTTCATCATGTATAACAAGATTTATTAAGATGTAAAGTGATAGACCGTCTTACCTCTATTTTGAAGAGATCGGAGGATAAGCAGGTACTATCGCTAACACAAGCTCTAATTTATAAATCTCAAATTAAAATAGTTTCAACCTCACCGAGAAAGAAGGGCTAACACATTGTTTTATTAGCTGACCGTCTGTTTATTTATAAATATAAATCCAATTTTTTTTTAAACGGTCAGGAGTGTTCGAATTAATTTATGCGCACCTCGACTAATCTTTTTTTTTTATTAAATCAAAGACAAATCATTTAAACAAAAACTAAAGTATTTAAAATCTTTCATAACGTATTTATTTCTATTACCACTTAAGTTATTTTTTGATTAAACCCGATCATTTTCAGAAGATGCAGTCGGAGCTGTTATGATAAGGGAATCAAAAAGTGGGACAAACAGGCCTTACTGTTACGATCATGACCCGACATGTTTCACTGGGCCCCTTTACAATTGAGGACGATGTTTTTTCACTCACTTTTATTCTTTAAAAGAATGAAAAAAAAAAAACAAAAAAAAAACAAAACACGTGTTCTTATTTGTTTCCATAAATTTCTACTTTTCACCAATTTCAATTTGTCTTCTAATTTCTATTTTTCTTGTTGTTTTTGGGTTTATTTTTTATGGATGAATTGAACCGAATGAACAAATTTTTACGATCTTTATAGTTAAAAAGGATTCAATCGAGGAGTCAAAAATTAAAAAACCAAATTAAAATCTGATGAGACTTAAAAAGATTTCTAAGTATGAGTTCAGAGAGTGAGGTCGGACAAGGAAGTCAAGTAAGAAATCCAGAGCTCAATGGTCTAGACCTCGGACTCCCCTTAGATGAAGCCATAAAGTAAAGGTGAAGGAAACTGTTGGAAAAAATTAGATGCAAATAAAGTGAACGGCAGGGTGAAGCGTGGACTATGTCGCTCTCTTAAAACGATTCGCGCCCTTTTATGAAAGAATCACAGCACAGGAAAAAATTGGATGTAAATAAAGTGAACGGTAAGATGAGGTGTGGACTAAGTTGCTCTCTTAAGACAATTTGCACCCCTTTATGAAAGAATCACTATGCAGAAGGTAGTGACGCGTCGTTCCCAGGATACAACAGCTCAGTCTATTGAATGTTGTTTCACTCAGATCTGCTCAATTGAATAAAGTAGAATCTTCACACACACCTTTGAATATTGCCCAGAAACTGATATTATAAGAAAATAGTTGATATGATATTGTAATATATATCTCTATACTGAAAATACTTATATATAATATATGTGTTTAATAGGCTGTAATTACTTTTATATTTAATTAGATAATAACTCACAAAATATGACCATTGGAATATTCGTAGATTTTAGAAATTCGTATGTCCTCCACTAGTTCCAATGCGCACGTGAGAGTCTTAAGACTTCTCTTTGATTCAAATGTTAAATAACACTAATACATATATATATTTAAGTATCTTTGGATGTTTAGTCGATATGAGATTAAGTTTTCACATAAAAAATATTCTTTTAATTAAAATATTCTAACATAAACAATTGTTTAATAGAGGGCGCCCCCCGAAACAAAAATAAGCTATCATTAAGGCGCAAAACTCTCAATTAATCAAGATCTTTCCCCAAAAATCAAGGGAGATCGTGCAAATGTAAGGCAAAGGTCTTGCTGGAAATCCCAAGGAAGTAGGAATTGAACTATAAATATTGTATAGAGCCTCCAATACGGGGCAAGCCATCCCAGTTGTATCAGAACACTCTGTAAATTGCTTCGATCATTCTTGTAGACCCAAGGAACAAGAGGCTCTATTAAAGAGTAGATTAATCGAGCTCTCGAACTAGTAAATCACTATAATTTCACTGTGCAAATCATTCCAATTCTCCTAAAGATCTTGTCGTAATCCTTGCGAGTCCAGAAGCTCAAGCTAAACCTTAATTATACGAACTACATTCGGCTCACCCACGTTTCATATACCATCAAAATCCATGTCGTAGTTGTAGGAATTTCTTTCATATTTACCCTGTTGTAAACTTTCCCTTGTTGAGTTAACACTAGTAGGAAACTTCAAATTAAATTAATTTGACAAGGAGAGATCATAAAAATGTCATGGGGGTTGTTAGTACAAGGAAACAGTGCAGTGGACAAAGTGACATCAGGTGATTCAGATGATCAGTTTCAGCTGGGTGGGAGTGAACAGTTGCTGAAGAAGCATCAGATCAGTTTCAGATTCAGATTTGGAAATTTCTGTTTCATTGCATTGGCAACCTACAATAAGATTGATGTTTGCCTCTGGTATGTTTCCCTCTCTCGGGATAAAATCATATAATTAGGAGAAAATTTCAGTAATGCATATTTCACCCTTTTTATTATTCAAAATACCACTGACACCCCCTTTCGAATTTATATTTAAACACCTCTGACATTAAACCAGAATTTTTAACAAAAACAAATCATCCAAAATTACCCCTACATATACCCAAAATAATCTTCCTACATAAAATTAGAGTTAATTAATATTTTTTTTTTACATATTAAAATTTGAACCCATAAAAATTCAATTAAAATTCAAGCTAATTACATTTTATTTTTTTACGTATTAAAATTCTTTTTTTACGTATTAAAATTCAAGTCAATTTGAGTTCTACCTGAGTGTTAGCACCGATTAAAATATACTTCGAGTCCATTAAAATTTATATTTTTTCTTAATAAAATTCATGTCTATTAAAATTTAATTCAAGTTGATTAAAATTTAATTTTTTAAGTATTAAAATTTGAGTCGATTAAAATTTGTATTTTTTTATGTATCAAAATTTGGACCAATTAAAATTCAATGTGAATTAAGTTGAATCGAATCAAGTTTTAATCTGTACGAATTTTAATATGCAAACAAATTTTAAAAATAGAAGGATCTCATTGAAAATATGTCTATATAGAAGAGTGTGAAAGAAATTTTTCATAAAATATATCATAGGTAATTTAGTAAAATTACATTTTTGTTAACACTTTTAATTTGATAGGGGATGTAGTGAAAATTCAGAAAATAGAAAAAGTGTTCTTGAAGATATAGTAAATTAGAAGGAATATGACTGAATTTTTTTCTAAAATTAACTTGTGTGCTACAGTGACTTTCAAGCTGTTCTCAACTGTACAGGCATGGATGATAAAAAATAGAAAGAAGGGAAGAGGAGAGTTTGGGGGGGGGGGGGGGGGGGGGGGGGTTGGGGTTGATGCATGTTATAGCTAGCTCATTAGCAAGCTTATGGTTTCATAAAGCCTGGTTACTCATAGTCAGAATTCTAATGACTAATAACGTTCAAAGGCTGTGTTAGCTAGTCCTTTGAGTCAAGGTTCAAGATCACAGAAGGAAGGCAGCTTTACGCCTAACCCTGCGGTCAAATGAAACAGATTACGAATTTATACCAGTAAGTATTTCACCAATATCTGATTTTTTAATTAATTTATATATCTAACAAATCGTGTCTCATAAAATTATAAAAAATATATAACTAATATATACATAAATCATAAAATATATTTTTTAAATTATAAAAAATATATAACTAATATATAAATAAATCATAAAATATATTTTTTTTGAATAACTTCATTCATACTCAATTCGTTTATTAATCATGTCATATCAGCTTTACTCGTCTTCATCTTCAAAACAGGTGGCCTAAAACAGACTATAACCCTCTAATTTCGTGTCGTGTTAACAAGTTTTATACCAGATAAGGAAATAATCAGAGTGTTCCTAAGACTAGTGATAACAAGAGTGTCGACTCAAGTTCACTTTATCCATTTATTGGCTCAGTATTTTGTTCCAAGTTTTGGGCAAAAGTAGATAACTGAGGAAGATGGAATACCAGATAAGGAAACAATAACAAACTGGTAAAGATGGTTCAACTATGGTTCTCTCCTCTGTTTTCATTCCAATGCCTCTTTCTTCATTTCTTACCTGAAATCGCCGGCGACCATCAGTTTTTTTCCCGGCAAGTAATGGCGACTTCTTGTTGCTGCTTGCTTGCATGCATGATCATTCTACATGTTCATCGAATGGAAAATCACAACTGTTCCATGCAATATATTAAATGCAATCGCTACATTCAACAGCTAGTACCATATCACAACTTCACTAGTCAGAACCAACTGCCCAGGTAAAACCTTGTTAATGACAATCCACATTTCAACAATAAACATAAGAAAATAACTGTTGGGTTGTGTTGCAAACGAATAAAACATGATCTGTATGACCAACACACATGCCATAATGTTGTTGGATATTGACACCACGGGTCAGTACTGATATGGCATCACTGTTATATAAAATATGTACATCTTGAACTCCTCTTTTGTACCATCTATTCTAAATTGTAGCCAGAAATTGCTAGGAGAGTAAACAAACAATATACGAACAATCTCAATCAGCAACTGCAATCTCTGGTATATGATTGAGATCAAAATATATCGAATTTAACCAAGTAAGGTTGGTAATTCAAAACGGGATGTGCAGAAATCGTAAGAAACTAAATGAGCAGTTCACAATCAACAAAGCAAGACTAGAAAACAAACTAATCTAGTAAAGAATGAAGATAAATGACCAACTCTCAATATAAGGCGAGGGCCATGCAAACGACAAGAATGATTCACGACTAACTATGAGGCAGGTGACACTAATAGCATAACAAAGGACTTGATAAAGATCCAACTGAACACTTATCGGAAAAAGAAAAGAGAAAAAAGATCCAACTTAACACCGCCCTGCTTACTAATACTCTCAGCACGTTTGAACTTCATAAATCAGTATCCCGTCAGAATCTAACTTCAAAAAGGAACAAATCCTTAATCCATGCTAGCTAGAACTACACAATCTAACTTTTCCGAGAATTAAAATACACCTATAGACCAATAGAAAGTAATCAGATCAATGCCACCTGAATTCCACACATGATGAAAATGATTGACGACTAGAATTCAGTTCACAGGCGAACATGTAGGTCGAAAAACATCAACTTCATTCTGAACGCTGGCCATAAGCAGATATCATAGAATGACAATCACATATCTATACAACCAAAAATATGCAGACTACTCATTCAATCAATCTCATATATTTATTAGAGTTCGGTACCCTTCAATACACTTCTCCTTTTTTCTTCCTTCCACAAGTTTTCAAGATCACCCACCATGTAACAATGGAGAACCATGTTTTATAATGTAAGCCTCTCCTAAACTCGACAGATGATTTGTCATCGAGAGAAAATTAAGAGCAGATGTGTACGGGAAGAATCCAAATCCACTAAAACCAATCAAATCTGTTCCTCACCCAAAGATCATGAACAGAGCATATAACTTTGGTTGAATTGTCTAAAACTTGCCACAATTATATCACTGCAAATTACAGCTAACAAATGAGAGACAATCAATTCAATTACTGGACGAAATCTACATTGTACAAACATCAAAATTCTACAGAATACAAACAAGCATATAAAAAAACAACAATAACCTTAACTATAAACTTAAATTACATTTTAGAGCACTAACCTCCCACAATTGCGAAATTTAAAGAGGCTTAGATGTATGAACTACGAGGCCTTACCTTATATGTAGAGGGACTTTGCTGGTAACTCGAATCTTTGACGCCCAGGTCACAGTGGTAGCAGTAAGGTCCACCCTCAACCTTAACTATAAACTTGCTAATTCCAAAACTCCAACCTTCATTTTTTTGTGTAGTAAAAAAAAAAAAACTCACTTTCAACAGGTCCCAGCTCTCCGTTTGAACCCATTTGGTCATATATATATGCCCTGAGCCCTAGGAACCCCTAATTACACCTTCATATTAAATTCTTCCTCGGCCTACCCCTCTTCTTACCCCCGGGCTTAGGACCCACTGGCTTAGCCGGAGTGGCATTCCTACCATTCACCGCTACCCTAGCCGGGGCCGGGGCCGGCGTCGGCACCGGGGCTGCCGGGGCAGCAGCTGAAAACATTGGAGGCATCCAATTGGGAAACCCCTCACTTTTCCCAGCATCCGAAGTCGACACCGTAAACCCCATCGGAAAAAACCCCCAGCAACAACTATACGCTTCCTTCCCCGGCACCAACGGCGGCATCGACGGAATTTCCACGGCAGAGAACGCCCTCTTACAATTCTGACACCTTAAACAACACCCATCATAAACCTTAGGATACTCGTACAAATTGTAACAGTACGGACAAGTTGTCCAAAAACTCGACATCCTCGTACCCCTATCGTCACCTTCCTCTCTACCACCGGAACTTCCCTGAGAGCCTCGCCGGACGGGTAATTTCTGATGTGGGTCGGGTTGATTCTGTTGTTTTCGCTGTTGGGTTTCTCTCTGCTTCGTCACCGCCACCAGATCAACCTTGGAGTACCGATTCATCTCACTATCGTACACAAACTTCTTCTTTGAATCCGACAACACAGCCCACGCATCAGCAACAAGCTTAAACGCTGTATCCGCGAAAGCATACCTATTCTTATCGGGGTGTAGAAGAAAAGCAAGTCTCCGATACTGTTTCTTGATGATTTCGAGGTCATCCGACCGTCGCTCGATTTGGAGTACACCGTACCAGTCGGGTTGGTTGTTGATCCGCTTATCGGCGGCGACGAGGACTTCGGCGACGGCCAAGATCTGATCTGGGCCATCCAATAAAGGTTCGGTTTCTTGGGATAAGATTGCGAATTCTTTTGAGCCGTTGAAATCTTTGTTGAGTAAGAGCTTCTCGGCGATTCCAAGCAATCGTTCAGCTTCGGCTCTGCTGGTGTTCTGTTCCATTTCCTTCTTGAGTTTGATACGTTTTTGGAAGTGTATATCGGATTTGTGTCTGAAATGAGGACTGAGAAAACGATGGGTGGGGCTTTCTAGGGGTGATGGTTGGTTGGTTGGTTGGTTGGTTTTTGTTTGGTTAAATGGGGTTTTTTTTGGGTCGGATGGCGTTAAAATCAAGTCAGTGACTAATTATTCGGTACAACGGTTACACTACCTTAATATTATCGTTTTTAATATAACCGTCAAATGTTATATAAATAAATAGGCAATGTGATACTATTTTTTTTAAAATAATATTATTGAGACTTAATTTATTAAATTAATTGTGAGTATTGTTCATTCGTGAGAGAGTGGAAGGGTAGTTATTGCGGCGAAATGTTCGTCGTAGATCGTAGAGTATTTTGTTTTGTAATTAATTAGACAAAAATTCTAATAATTATTAAAATTGAGAAAGAAAAGGCTCAAAATATAAATAGACAATTTTAATGTGATTAAAAAAATAAAATATAAACCGTAACATAAGTCAATGAATCTAAATAATCTGGCTTTATGTATTTTTATGCAAGTATAATGCTTTGTTTCCTCATATAAATTCTAATTGCTCAATTTTTTGGTCAGCTATTGTATTATTGTAGTCATCAATTTAAAAGAAAAAGTTATCTTCAAAAACTTTTGGTTTTACACCAAAATTATTTAAGAATGGTAAATTTTAATTTAACTAGTTGATGCATGTGTTTTTTGGACGCCAACTATTTTGATTTTTTTAAAAAAAGAAGATAAATTTGACTAATTTTATTTATATAGAGATGATTATATATTAAAAAAAGATAAATTTTATAGAATGAACGTGATTAATTAAAAGAATAAAAATTAGCATTTAATTATATTGTTTGCTTAAAAATATTTGTTGTTAAGTTTATAGAGTAGTCAACTCACTTAAACTCTTTCCACATGTAATGATAAATAATATTTAGAAAACACCTTTATGTCTTCCAAATCATATGAATTTTTATTGATGTATTACATTGTATGTAAAATTAAAAGGAAGGGATAAATATTAAAACCAAAAATTACATATACTTCTTTACATATAGAAGCATTCGTAAAATATCCATATATTTTATTTATTATTGGATACATTTGGGGTATATTTAATACATATCCTCAAATATTTGACAAATATCGTATCCAATACAGTATTCGATACAAATACATCGATATTAACGAATTATCCGTGCTTCATTGGGTATGATATATGAATACCAATGAGTCTTTAGTCCAATGGTACTCATAACTTTGTGAAAACTTTACCTTATTGAGATAATGGGTTCAAATCCTCTCCTCCTCTCCTTCCAAAAAAAAATTATATATATATATATATACTTAAAAATGGATAGAGACTTCATTGGGCTATTGGTTGGTGGATCCTGGTTAAATAACACCCAGACCATAAGTTGTGTCCTTGCACATGGGCTTTTAGGCCCTAATCTGGCTCACAAAATCAGCTGCAATTTGGGATAAATTAGATAGGGCAAGCCCATGACCACCCATAACAGTTACAGCCTGTTTGGTACATAGGAAAATAGGGTGGATAAAAAATGGAATGGATTGAAAAATTTTCCACCTACTTGGTACAAAGGAAAAATAGGAGGGAGAAGAGATTTCTTCCCCCCCCCCCCCTCCCCCCCCACGAAATGGGCAGAAAATGGAGACAAGATGGACTTTTGAGCAAGAATATAGAGTTTTACCATCTTACCCTTATATTTAACATACAACAAACAAATGCCCAATCTTAACAACACAAGCTTTGAACTTTCAACAACGAAGAAACATTCAAAAAATGTTGTATTTTCCTATCAAATTTGTGGTTGACTACACCGTCAAATGTTGAGAAATATAAAATAAAAAAAAAAAGTTGTTTTGTACAAGTGATTTCCTACAATGATTTGAGATAGCGACCACTAGTTGAACTTGAGCAAAATTACTAAAATACGGAACAAGGTTAGAAAGGGGTCATGTGTTTATCCGACTTATTTCCTCTGATGCTTAAAGAGGAGTTGAAGAGGAGGCTGACATCAGCTCCTATTATGATAGTTCTGGAAAGAGGACAGAGGTACACAGTGTATTATGATGCCTTGAAGGACGAACTCGATTATGTGTTGATGCAGTCCGGGAGGGTGGTGGCTTATGATTCTTGGCAGTTAAAGAATCACAAGTAAAATTACCCCATGCACAACATGAAGTTTGAAGTACATCTTTACACAACGGGACATCAATATGAGACAACGCAGATGAATGGAGTTTCTAGAGGATTATGACTTCACTTTGCATTACCATCCCGGTAAGGCAAATGTGGTGGCTGATGCACTTAGCCGGAAGTCACGGAGAGTCTTGGCTAGTGTGGCTTTCCAGGAGTGGCAGATGCTCGAGAGTATGGGATAGTTCAGGCTGCGTTACATGGGGCAGACTCAGGGTACTTTGGGGAGTTTAGTGGCTACATCTTCCCTACTGATCAGAGTGATTGAGTCTCAGGGACAGGATACAGAGTTATCATCCATCAGGGACCGAGTACGATTAGGTACAGGTGACAAGGGCTAGACCATTCACTTGAATGGTAGTCTTCGATTTAGGGGAAGAATTGTGGTTCCCCAATCTGTGAAACTTAGAGAGGAGATTCTTAGAGAGTTTCATTGTTCCCGTTTTGTTGTGCATTCAGGTGGTACGAAGATGTATCATGATTTTCATCGCCAATATTATTGGAGTGGGATGAAGAAAGACGTTGAAAATTTTGTTAGCCGATGTCTCACTTGTCAATAGATGAAAGTCGAACACCAGAGACCAACAGGGTTATTCCAGCCTTTGGAAGTAGCTGAGTGGAAGTGGGAGCATGTCACGATGAATTTTGTGACTCACTTGCCACGGACATTACGGGGTCATGATGCTATATGGGTGATAGTGGACCAGCTTACAAAGTCGACACACTTTTTGGCAGTGCGAATGACCTTCACATTGGAGGAATTCTGTAGGTTATACATACGGGAGATTGTTTGGTTGCATGGGGTACCCGTATCTATAGTATCGGATCGAGATCCCAGGTTTACCGCTCATTTTTGGGAGAGTTTCCAGCAAGCCATGGGAACACGGTTGATGATGAGCACTGTTTTTCATCCCCAGACGAATGGTCAATCAAAGAAAATCATCCAGACTTTGGAGGACATGCTACGGGCATATGTCCTAGATCTCAAGGGTAACTGGGAAGAACACTTGCCCTTAGTGGAGTTCGCCTACAACAACAGTTATCAGGCAAGCATACAGATGACACCCTATGCACCCTATGAGACAGTATATGGGAGGCCTTGTCGATCTCCAATTTGTTGGATGGAGGTGGGAGAGAGACCCTCTCCGGGTCTGGATTTGGTTAGGGACACCTCTGAGAAGGTGGACTTGATACGGAAGCATCTCCTCATGGATCAGAGCTGATAGAAGAGCTATGCCGACAAACGGCGGTGACCTCTAAAGTTTGAGGTGAGAGATCACATCTTCTTGAAGGTGATGCCTAAGAAAGGAGTGATCCGATTTGGTAAGCGGGGAAAGTTGTTGCCGAAGTATATCGGGCCCTTCGAGATACTCGAGAGGGTGGGTGCAGTGGCTTATCGGTTGGCGTTACCACCAAATCAATCAGATGTTCATGTTGTATTCCATGTCTCTATGCTCCGAAAATACACCCGGACCCGACTCATATGGTGGATTGGAGAGAGCTTGTTGTTGATGCTGATGGGACCTTCGAGGAAGGACCGGTGCGCATCATGGATAGTCGAGAACAGATTTTGTGAGGCAAAACTGTGCGACTTGTGAAGGTGCTGTGACAGCACCGGGGAGTGGAGGAGACAACATGGAAGCGCGAGGACACCATCCATACCAGTTGTTCCTTCTTATTTGAGGACGGAGGTACATTCTTATAGTCATTTAGCATTTTTTGACTACTGCATATGCATGTGTATGTGAATTTCGGGGACAAAATTTTTTTAAGGGGCGAAGAATGTAAAACTCGGGAAAAATTTAAATTTTTTCTCTTTTATTTTTTTTTAAAAAGGGCAAAATGATAATTTGTCATTATAATGCGAGTTTAAAATTCATATTTTTCTAGATCTTGGATAACGCAACGGACCTCACCGTTGGATTTGTATCGCAAAATTGAGTTATCATGTCAATTTTCGTCGAATTCTGAGATAATCGAATTTTACACGTTTTACGAGACAATTGGGTGACGAATGACCTTTCAAAGGTCCCCAAAAATAAAATTTATAAAATTTCCTTAGAGTTGGATAAAAGTTCAAATAAAATTAATTTGAACTTAAACCGGGATGAAATAAATCATTTCGGGGTACAAACAGACCCGAATCAGTGGGGGACAGGTGGCGCGACTCGGGCCAAGTATTGGAAATTATAAATAGGGCTAAATAGTAGATATTTCAGCAGAAATGTCTTTGCATTCAGCTGATTCCAACATTGGAGAGGAAGAGAGGTAGAGAGGAGAGAAAGAAAGATTCCAATCGTTTTTCCGCCGATTCTCGGAGTTCCGTCGGTCGGAATTCGTCGAGCCAAAAACTAAAGTCGATCACGTCGACGAAGGCTACGCAACCACACCAAGAACGAAGGATTTCACCGAAGATCCAAAGGAGGAGATTTAGGAAAATCAAGTTTTAGAAGTGGTTTTGGTGTTCTTGAAGTCTCTACACTTCAATCTACGCTACAAGAGGTAGGGTTCTTCCTACTTGGCTTTATTCCTATCTTAAGGGGTTGTTTAAAGGGCTATTTGTGGCTGAATTTGAGACTGTTTTATGGCCTGTTAATGGGCTATTTTATGGCTAAATTTGGGAATGTTTTATGGCCAATTAATTGACTATTTTGTGGCTGAATTTGAGACTATTTTATGGCCTATTAATGGGTTATTTTTGTGGCTGAATTTGGGACTGTTTTATGGCCTGTTAATGGGCTATTTTGTGGCTAAATTTGGGACTGTTTTATGGCCTGTTAATGAGTTATTTTGTGGCTAAATTTGGGACTGTTTTATGGTCTATATAGGGGCTATTTTATGGCTGTTTTGGT